GATATAAATCCTGCGTTACCCATAAGAAGGAATATATCCCATAATTCCCATAGCTTAGGGCCCTTAAGGTAATGCAGGATTTCTATCATCAACAGTACGACTCCGCCTAGACCGACTGATACCTATGGACCCACCAAGCAGTAACAAGCATGCGAGGGGTCTGGCAACTTGGCGAACAGCGGCACAGACGAGACAAACTGTAACTCAACGTGAGCTCGCGGTGTGTCTCTCTCGCTCTCTCTCTCTCTCTCTCACTCTCTGCAACTTGCAGGTGGGTCGGATGGACATTACAGACTGTAGAATCTCAGACGAGAGCGACACTGATGACAGTGACAGTGCCCATCAGGATTCTCAACCACCTTCAAAGTGCGCTGCTGCCACACCTTTTGCAGCCAACCGACAAGCAATTTGCTTTTTCCGGTCGATAGAGGTGCAGGCCTGTTTGGTGTAGAGGTGGGAACCCAGTCAGTTGTGACGCCAGTCGTCAAGCCTGTCTAGTTCCTCTCGGCTCTTTCTCCTGTAAGGATGCAGTCTGGTAGCTACCGCTCGTCAGACCAAGCACCTTCTCCCCAATATCTTGCAAGCTCGTTTCCCAGGTCTTCTCCATTATGAACAAGGCCGACGGGCTCAGCACAGCGGACACCGTAAAGAATATGCAGAGGCATATTATGGAGCATGGCCCCATCTATGCGTCTTTCGCGACAACGAGTGCGTTCATGGATTGGGATTGGGATGAGAAGCCAGTCTACACCGGTGGCGGCTCCAATGTGGGTGGCCATGCTATCGTTCTCACAGGCTGGGGGACGGAGCCCAGGCAGAAAGCAGACTTCTGGCGTTTCAAGAACTCTTGGGGGCCCGAGTATGCAGACAGAGGGTACGGCAAGTTCCAGAGAGGCGTGAATCTGGACCAGATCGAAGAACGTGAGATGGCAGCGGCTATGCCGGATGAAAACTTCGCTGACTTCTCTGCTCCAGAGTGTAATTTGCACCAGTGGAGCACTGCTTACTGGAAAGCCGGCGATCAGCTGACGCAATACAAGATCTACTATCATGTCAAGTGCAACAAGGACGCCAAAGTCAACGTGTTCGCCTCCCACCGTATCCAGAAACGGTCCGACATCTACAAGGGAGTGACAGGGAATGAAGAAACCGTGGACGCGAAAAGCAACGTCATGGCCAAAGTTCCCTTCGACCTCGTGCATGGAAAATTTGGCTTGGAGGCTGGAGATCAATGGATCAAGATCCGAGCCACCGATGATGCAGGCAACAAGCATGACAACACACATTTTGTTTCGATCCCAACAGTGCCTGGTGTACAAAGTTACGGTTCGTGACCAGGACTAGGAGGATCTGCATCTTCAGCCAGCGGCGCAGAGAAAATGAGAGGCTAGTCTAGCAAGGCCCAGCAGAAATTCCAGCAAGCCCGCATGCCGAAGGGGGCAACCGTACATTTGCTTGATGCTTCTCAGCCGCAAAGTTCAGCAGAAGGCCGAGTAACAAACAGGTCTTGTTCAGACTTATTCAGACAAGTTGCAGCAGCGGCAGCAGGTAAGTTTGATCCGAAGCCAAATCCCTCGCCACTTCTCGCTAGACGCAACATTCTGTAAGTCACCGAGCCCCAAAACCCTTTAGCCTAAACCCTAAACCCAACCTCGCTTGTGGGCATAGATCCTTAGCCATGCGAGAGGGAAAAAAACCCAACCCTTAAGCCCTAAACCCTGAAACTCCAGGGGACCCCCAGAAACCATCCGTTGAAGAGGCCTCTGGTCTTCCCCAACAACTTGCAACATATAGATATTGTCTATATATATATACACACATTATATATATTTATATATATATATATACACATTATATATATTTATATATATATAATATAATATAATATATATATATATATTATATATATATATTATGATAACCCAAAAGGGACCCGAACAAAGAACCATAAAAGGACCCCGAACAGGAACCCTTCAAGAGGAGCAGAAAGAGGAACCCCGCGTGATCTCCAAATCGGACAAAGTTTGCGACTTGTTCAGTTGGGTGGGTAGGAAAATCCCATCCTAAACCCGAAACTTCTAAACCCTAAGCCCGGCAATGCGGGCTCGTCCTAGCTAGGTGGGAGGCAAAAAAGCACTAAGCCCCTCCAATTCAGAGGTTTTGGAGGGCTCAGGGCCTTTTGTCCGCATTCCTGGAATCACCGAGGAGAGCTCAACAGCCGCAAACATAAAGCCCAGCGATACCTTGGATACTTTAGCATGTCTTACCAGTGGCACTGGGGTCTCTTTACCAGCTTAGGGCCCAGGGTGCCACGTCCTTGGTGAAACACTGTACTCTCAAAGTCAATCTGAAACGGATCTTGAGCTGAGCTGGGCGTCTGCCGAACCATCCCGGCTCCAGGATGGTCTTCTGGAGCCACAGGTGCCCAAAAAGGGGGCTGCGTGGATTTGCACGGTTCCACGGAATTTTTTTTTGCCAGTGGTTCAACAGCTCGCAGAGCTCTTTTCTTTAGGACGGCTTCTTTGGGAGCGTGACGGTTGCAGTCCGAAAGTCTGCAGTTCAGGCCCGGGCGTCGGGGATGGGCTTATCAAGAGACACTCCCCCCAGTGCCACATTTGATGCGGCTCTGAAGATGCCAGCACTTGGGATCTCGCATGGGCCTGAGAGGCCTCAGTAACTTAGGGCCTTAGGGTATCGAGTGGTGAGAAAGAAGGATTGCCTTATATAGCGGCCCCAGACATCCGTTTGCCACAAAGCCGAGAACACCAGAGCACAAGCCTGAAATCGTGAAGCTCTGACCAAAGCTTCAAGTGATGAAGTGGCTCCACCCACAAGCCTTGGCAATAGAAAAGGGCCACAGTTCAACCCACGGCTCACGACCACCAGTAGCTCAGATACAAGATCCGAGTAATAGTTTGGGGCTTGTAAAACCAAGAAGTACTTGATTAGGAGGTCATCAGAAAAAGGATCACAGCTTTTGGGATCTTTTGGGATCAGTAGGGGGCCCCACATCGGCTGATCTTTGCCAGGCCTTTGCCTGCAGGAAAAGAGCGGCCGTGCTCGAGACGACTCAGCCGGCTACCCGTTGCTTTGGTAGCCGAGTAGGTAGCCTTTAACATCTTCGGGTCCACATGTAAATCTGTTTCAAAGTATATACAAATTACATATATGTATACAGAGTCCATATAGTATACATATAGATAGACTGAGAGAGACAATACATGAATGTGCAGATATATATATATATATGTACACATGCATACATGCTTACATGCATATGTGCACATGTGCATATGTGCATACATACATACATACATACACGCACGTACATACATAATTAAACGGGTGTCTTTCCTGGGCGAGGGAACGAAGCAACCAGGCTGATCAAGCTTTGCCACTTCAACGGCGGCCTATGTGGCTGTCATGTGAGACCCTGAACCCTAGACCGTGAGCCTGCCCCACAACAAGGTTGAAACGAAAAGCCCTGAAACGACGGCGCTTTGACAGATGATGTGATTTTCTGACGAAGCTGGACTACAGAGCATGAGGTGCGCAGGTTGCGGTGAGGTTTGTTGGACTCTACGGCGACAGATCGAATTCCCTGTCGCCCATTACAAACCAAGTGGATGCAAACCCCAAGCCCCGAACCCTTCTAAACTCGCTGTTGGCTTTGATCTCTGCAATGCGAGAGGGCAAAACCCCTTCTAAACTGCTGCCATCCCTGACAACGACACCTTCGAAACGGACATGCCTCGCCTGGAACGTCGGAATGTAAGCGGCGAAATCCAAACCGCCACAGCGGTAGAGCTTTCGAAGTCTATTCAAGCGTTACAAGTGTTGCAGAAGCCTGACAATCAGAGGCACCAAAACCCTTAATCTAATTGTTTAGACTCCCATAGTACCATCGGCAAGGCAAGGAAGCACCCGGCAGTTTCAACATTTCGTCTAGCAGGCATATTCTGCCAAGCTCCCCAAACACTCCTAACCCCGTGAGAAAGAGGTGACAGTGGTAGTGGCCGTAGTAGTACTGGTAGTAGTGGTGGTGGTAGTGGTAGCTGAGGTGGTAGTGGTAGCTGCATTGCCAGCGGCAGTGGCACTGGCTGTGGTAGTGGTGGTAGTAGTAGTCGTCGTCGTAGTAGTAGTTGTAGTTCCCACTAAACCAGGATGCCAGAACCTCAGCGAAGACGTAATAACGTCACTCCGCCATGGCTTCCGAGACTGTCGCAACTCAGGCCTCTTCTCGCTTACCAGGCCGTGGCACAAGCTTGCTGCTTCGGGTTAGGCCATAGCACCCTAAACACTGAAACCTCAGACCGGGCTATCAAAAGAGCCAGGCCCTTGAACCCTGAAGATCTCAGCCGATGGGTTTCTGTTTGGGATCTCCTGGTTCTACCAACCAGAACCAGTATGACTGTACTCAATAATTGTAGCGCGAATACTTTTAATGGTCAGCCTCATTGCCCTTATTATGGTGCTTAGTGATACGGTAGTGTCTTATGAGATGAAAAAGAACCAGAACAAAATTGACAGACTAGCAGTTCCTTTTGAATGTCTCACCACTATCATCATCATGCTTGGTAATATGGTAGTGTCTTATGATGATCAGAACAAGATTAACAAACTAGCAGTTCCTTTTGAATATCTCAGCGCGGTTCACCCAAGGCCAGTCCCTCTACAGTACTTGCTTCTACCTGATCATGCCCACACAACATCCATAGCCTTGTCCTGATTGTACTGCGACCCCGAGCGCAACCCTCGACCCAGACGCTGAAGTTACTTCTTCCAATCTTGGTGAACGAAAGCCGCCTGCCAGGCCTCTGCTGTCGGCTTCTTGGAACCTTACCGCGTTAGGCTGAAGCTTCAGGATTTCCAACGCTTGCGGACTCTACGGGGGTCGCACACCACTTGGAGTCTCTGTTTCTGCGTGTTGGAACTCGGGTGCTCTGGAATCCCGGATTCCGGTTCGAGGCAGCACCCATAACCAACAATGACCGCAACATACCCCAAGACAGTTCGAGCATTACGTGTCAGAATATCGGTCTCCACCTGTGTGGATCGAAACCACGAGTGAAAACAACGATGATAAGCTTCGGTGCCATACTGTCGGGTTGGCGCCATAGCTGGCTGCAGCTAGCTCTTCATATACAGTGCCAACGCATACAAACTCCCATGGAGTTGTGGTCCTGAGGCTTGGAGCACTACGCCTGTGGCTGGGCCGCCGATGCTCGGCGCCGCTCCAGGTCCAGGAGGCTTGGCAGTGCGACTGCCCGCGGCCATCGCCACCTCATCTATGTGTAAGAACGCAGCAGCAGCGACAGCAATATCAACATCAGCAACAGAAGCGTCCATCATAGTGCGTGCGAGGGTTAGCAAACGCAAAATCAACAACAGGAGCAGCAGCAGCAGCAACAACAACAACAACAGCAACAACAGCAACAACAAGAACAACCGCAGCAGCAACAGCAGCAACAATACCACCACCAACAACAACAGCAGCAGCAGCAACAACAACAGCAACGACAACAGCAACAGCAACAGCAGCAGCAGCAGCAACAGCAGCAACAGCAGCAGCAGCAAGCAGCAGCAGCGTCAGCAGCCGCAGCAGCAGCACCACCACCGCCACCACCGCCACCACCGCCACCACCGCCACCACCGCCACCACCGCCACCGCCACCGCCACCCCTACCCCCACCACCACCACCACCAACAGCAGCCGCAATTGCAATGACGAAGAGGCGACGACTAACCACCCAACCTCAACAACTACTACTGCTGCTCCTCCCATACTGTCAACCAGTTCTACCGCTACCACGACGTACCGACTACGATACCCATCGACTGCTACCGAAACTATTGCTTTCACTACCACTGCCGTCACTTCAAACTGCTGCAAGTCCTGCAGGGTGGTGTTGGCGGTTCTCAAGCGCGATGGTGCATGTCGGAATGTTTGCCATAATGTCCCTGAGACCGCCTAGTGACCCGTGATGTATGAACCCTTTCCTCAAGGGCCTGGCTGCTGGGGTACCCGATTACGACCGCTAGTCAGGGAACCAGAGCTGCACACTCCCAACCTCAAACCCTGAAACTTGTAGTAGGCACCTCTGTATTGAGCATATGAACCGATAGACCTCGTGAGTTGCGAGAGCGTAAAACCCCAAACCCACATCACAACACTACATAAAGGATGGTGAGCCGATTCAGCGGATTTTGGCCGGTCAGGTGCTGCGGCTGGTCCTTTGGTTGCGTCCCCCTCCTGGCAGAGCTCAAAATTCAACTGGTTTAGCTTTTCAGCAGGGAAATCAAAGCGAGGAGTTGACACTCTGAAAGCGGTAGC